ATCTTTGTACCATCGGATATCATGTTGGTCCACTAAAGAGCTCATGGTACTGATTGAACTTGGTATACCTTAAGTCCTACACACCGTAGATGCTTTAGTAAGATACACTGAAGCAGAGTGTTGGAGTTAAATTTCCTCTGGGGTTTGTTGAGACATTTCCTCTCAAGTAAAAGGCAAGTTGCTTCACTTTGCATCCTCTACTGCTAAGAAAGATTCACTGGGTTTGTTGGGTCTCTATGCATTTTGTAGGGAATACATACTGCATTTGGTTGTGTTACCCATTTGCAAAGTAACCCATAAGATTTTCAGCTTTGAGAAGGACCCAGACTAAATGACAGACTTCTCAACTAGGTCATGTTGCAAACAAGCAGCTCTGCCACTTGTCTTTTATGATCCAGGAAATCCAACAATCTTCAAATTATCTGTGGCAGATCAGGATGCTATTTAGAGACTATGGCAATTCTAAGTCCTTGGGTTTTTGGAACAAAGTCATACCCTCTTTAGAAAATAACTATTTTTCTTTTGAGAAAAAGTTCCAGACTCCCTGAGCCCTGATAAAAACTGAACACTTGACTCAAGGGATATTAGGGAAACATGTGACCTGAATTTCCTATCATGAACTGGGTGTCCTCTGATACAGAACATCATAAAGTGCTCAAAAACATGCCAATATTAAGTGGAAATGGATTATTGGAGTCCAGCCTCTAGTAGGTCTTACCATCAAATTAGTTTGTGAAAGTAGGTGGTTCATCCTCTCAGTGCAACTATATCTACTGCCTTATCACTTTTTCCTCCTCTACAGTTATGGCATCTTGAAGAGTCCCTTAAGACCACTTAATGTAAGAACAAAAAAAAAAAAAGAAGAAGAAGAAGCCTGTTCCCAGAAGGCTCTGCATGACATGATGGTACTGGCCAGAAGTGGACTTCTATAGTGTTAAACACACTCAGCTGGTGGCAGGAGGTCTGGATAAGAAGTATATGGATGGACCCCTAAGCAAATATTTCTGTGTCCATGTGAATGCAAAGCAAAATACACCTACTAAAAGGAAGCTTTCAAAAATCTAGGTGGATATAGAATTGCAAGGGACCCAGAATAGCCAAAGCCATCTTGAAAAAGAAAAACAAAGTAGGAGGGCTCACACCCTCCAATTTCAAAATTTGCTAGAAAGCAACAGTAATCAAGACAGTGTGGGGGTGTCTGGGTGGCTCAGTCAGTTAAGTGTCTGCGTTTGACTCAGGTCATGATCCTGGGGTCGAGCCTGGCATCGGGCTCCCAGCTCAGCGGGAAGTCTCTCCCTCTCCCTCTGCCACTTCCCCTGACTCGTTCTCTCTCTCTCTCTCAAATAAATAGATAAGCTCTTACAAAAATTCCTTGGTACTGGAACAAGGAAAGACATATAGATCATTAGAATCAAATTGAAAATTTAGAAATAAACCCACAGGTCTACGATTAACTTATTTTCACCAAGAGCACCAAGATCATTCAAGGGTAAAAGAATAGCCTTTTCAACAAAATGACACTAGACAACTGGATAGATGTTTATGAAAGAATGAAAGTGGACCCTTACCTCACACCATACACAAAAATGAACTCAAAATGGATCAAAGACCTAAATGTAAGAGCTAAAACTATAAAACTCTTTTTAAGAAAACTTAAGATAAACCTCCATAGCCTTAGATCTGGCAAAAGATTTTTAGATATTACTAAAAGCATGAACAACAGCGAAAAAATAGTTCATCAAAATTAAAAAATTTTGTGCTTCAAATCACTCCATCAAGAAAGCGAAAAGACAAACCACAGAATGGGAGAAAATATTTGAAAATCATATATCTGACTAAGGTCTGGTATCCATAATATATCAAGAACTCTTGGGGTGCCTGGGTGGCTCAGTCGTTAAGTGTCTGCCTTTGGCTCAGGTCATGATCCCAGGGTCCTGGGATCGAGCCCCTCACTGGGCTCCCTGCTCCATGGGAAGCCTGCTTCTCCCTCTCCTACTCCCCCTGCTTGTGTTCCCTCTCTCGCTGTGTCTCTCTCTGTCAAATAAAGAAATAAAATCTTAAAAAAAAAAAAGAACTCTTACAACTTAATAATAAAAAGACAAATAATCCAACTTAAAAATGGACAAAGGATTGAAATAGATTATTCTCCAAGAGAGAGACAACACCATTAATCATCAGGGAAATGCAAATCAAAACCACATGAGGGGGGCGCTGAGATGGCTCAGTCGGATAAGTGTCTGCCTTTGTTTCAGGTCATGACCCCGGAGTCCAGAGATCAAGCCCTACATTGTCCTCCCTGCTTAACGTGGAGTCTGCTTCTTCCTCTCTGTCTGCTCTTGTGTTCTCTCTCTCAAACAACAACAAAAAAAACAAAACCAAAAAAACCCACAAGAAACCACTTCGTACTGACTAAGACAGCTATAATCAAAAGGCCAGGTAGGTATTGTTAAGGATGTGGAGAAATAGGAACCCTCATACACTGCTGAAGGGAATATACAATGGTGCAGCTGCTTTGGAAAATATTCTGGCAGTTCCTCAAATGATTAAACATAGAGTTACCATGAGACCTAGGGATTTCACTTCTATGTATATACCTAAGAGAAATAAAAACATTTGTTTTATTGTACATGAATGTTTATAGGAGCACTATTTACAATAGCCAAAATGTAAAAACAAATCAAATGTCCATCAACTGAGGAATGGATAAATAAAATGTTATATATTCATGTACTGAAATATTAAGAAGTATTGATACATGCTATGTGAATGAACCTTAAAAAACATTTTGCTAAGTGGAAGCGGCCAGTCACAAAAGACCTCATATTACATGATTCCATTCATGTGAAATGTCAAGAATGTTAGAGTTCCCTAACTCTATAGATACAGAAAGTAGATTAGTGGTTGCCTTGGACTAAGGGGCTGGAGAAACGAGAGAGTAAGAGGGTGATAGCCAAGGGGTATGGCGTTTCTTTTTGAGGTAATGAAAATGTTCTAAAATTGGCTGTAGGTGATGGTTGTAATATCTATTAATATACTAAAAACCACTGAATTGTACACATTATATAGGTAATTGAAAGGGGTGTCAATTATGTCTCAAAAAAGTTGTTTAAAAAACTCTACATGGAGGCAGTGAAAGCCTATTTCCCCAGTGTCTCATACTTATTCCTTAGGCTCATGAACAAAATGGCTGTGTGAAAGAGATGGAGACTATATATAGTCTATATATATCTATAGATATATATCTATAGATATATATCTATAGATATATATCTATAGATATATATAGTCTATATATATATATATAGTCTATATATAGTCTCCATCCCAACAATATGGACTTCCTTTGGCCAAGGCTAGTCTGACACTACTGAGAGTCCAACTTCCCTGTAAGGAGAACCAATGCTGAACCCCTAGTATAGTTCACTGTATATAGTAGATTTTTTTAAATCCCTTCTAACAGTGAGGGGATAAGAGACAGTGGAATGGACACTTTTCTGATGATAGATTTGTCTTCTCTGCTTCAAGGCTTTTATCAGCAGTCCCCCTGACCACCCTAGAGTGAATGTAGTGACTGTCTTATTCATGAGCATAATATTTGACCATACATTGCTTATGAGAGAAGAACCAAGTTCATGTGGAAGAGATGAAGTCAGTCTCATACCCACAGGAATATTTGGCCTTCCAATATAGCCCATCACTTAGAAACCCCTGGCTTCATAGGAAGGTAAAGTGGCTAATTGAAAACTCAGTTTGTGAGACAGGACCTTGTGAGGTGGTCTATGAACTGGTATATGCTCTAATCTTGTGACCAATATATGGTGCTATTTCTTTCATAGACAGCATTCACTGGCCTAGGATATAAGAAGTGGAAGTGGGAAGATATAATCCTCACTATTAAACATGGTGAACGACTCCTGAATGGTTTGTTTCCCATACACTTGGTTATAACAACGGTTTCAAAGAATTGGAAGTTGAAGCTGCCTCCTGACTGGAGCTCTTCATGCCATTTAAGCAACAAGGAGAAAATGAGGTCCTTATGTGTTGTCTGGGGCAACTGGTTCCAAATATCAAGGGGAAGCAGAGTTGCTGTATATACAACAGGACCAGGTAGAAGTATGCTTAGTATCCTCTGGGGTGCCTCTTAGAGCTCTTATATTCAATGATAAAAATTAATGTAAGGTTATGTTAAACGAATATAGGAAAGACCAAAAAGAACCCAATTCCATGAGAGTGAAGAGCTGAGGTACTGACTGGAAAGAAAGCGAACATTGAGTTAATACTGAGAGAAGTTATAGATATTAACTACCTTCATGACCAGTGGTGATTATGAGGACTGCAGTAAATATCCATATTTTCTTTCTTGCTTTGGTATGCGTGTCTTTATATATATATATTATATATATATTAAACACTTCTCTTTTTCTCTTCCTCTTTTGTCTACTCTTTTACATGGTAATGGTTTATTTTATAATTGACATTTTAGATTATATTATTCTAGGATTATGACTAAATTAGAAAAAAAAATATGTCATTGAGAAATGAATATAAGAGCAAACTTCTGGTCTCCCATTTGGGGGGATGACAAAAAGTCTTAATTTCCTCAACAAAAAATCCTTCTGAAGTGTATTGTCAGGAACTTCACTCCCATGCTCAGGAAAGAAATAGAGCTTTAGGACTCCTTTTCCGCTGTCTGAAACTACTTTTCTTCCTAAGAGGTAGCAGTCTGGCAGCAGGCTAGATTGTGGGCTCTGCAGTCAGATGCAGCAGAATGTGAATCCTGACTTGAGGCGTGCAAGCCACGAGAACTGGCCAAGCACTGGAGCCTCGGTGCCTTGATTTCATGGGCTATAAAGTAAGGATAGTAAAAGCCATCTTCTAGGGTTGTTCTGAGAATTAGGTCAAACGAGATGACGCCATAAAGCTCAGCGAAGCACAGGGCCTGCTCTGTGGGGCTACTCAGGGGCATGAAGAGCAAATGCAAAGAAACTCCATGAACTCACTTTCCCACCAGGGAGTGAAACGTTGCGTCATGGTCCACCCCGAGTGGATCCCAGCCGAGGTGGTCCTCACCCGTCCATAGTAAGGTTCCTGTATATCTGATGTTTCGTTAGTAAGGTCGCAAAAGAATTCTAGAATACCCCAACAGTCTTCTTTATTTTTCCATTGTCTCTGTCCATACCTATAGAAGAGAAAAGGCAAAGATCTGAGGGTTGTTGTTTTGTTTTGTTTCCCATTGAAGGAGCCTTCCATTTTTTCAGTCTATTAATTTTTTAGACTAGTTGGGATTTTTGTCCTCCAACAGCAGTAACACTGTGAAAGCTTCCGGCTTCACTCAAGTATCTTTAAAAAATTTTTTATTCTTGGGGTGCCTGGGTGGCTCAGTCCATTAAGCGTCTGCCTTCGGCTCAGGTCATGATCCCAGGGTCCTGGGATCCAGTCCTGCATCGGGCTCCCTGCTCAGCAGGAAACCTGTTTCTCCCTCTCCCTCTGCTGTTCCCCTGCTTGTGCTCGCTCTCTCTTTCAAATGAATAAATTTTTTAAAATCTTAAAAAAAATTTTTTTTTTTAAATTTTATTCTTGTTAATCAAAGCGTTACCTTGCTGAAAGATAAACTCAAGCCTGACACCTTCTGTATCAGTAGCAAAAGGGTTTTGGGGTTTTTAATACTTAGTGAAATTTTTCTTCTGGTATCTGAACCAACTTCCACTTTTGAGTACTAGCTTCCCACATCCTTAATGCTTCTGAGGTTTCAACCCTGTGGTTTTCTTCACTTCTCATCAGCCTGCTGTTGAGTAATGTGGCTGATTCTAAAAAGTTGCTACCCCTTTTCCTCTCAGGTATTGCTTACCCAACACATCTTGTCAATCTTTTTGTTGAAAATGGAGCGGGGGTTGCATAAATTTTAATGTATAAATAAAGATGCATAAACTTTGCAGTTGCTATACAAAATATGTTGAGAAAAGCAGCAGGAGTTAAAGACTGAAAAACTTCTGGAAATAGTTCTCATGACATTAACAAGAGGTTAATAAATGGGCACATCTGACCTTGAACCTACCCCTGTGCTAGGGAGACATGGATGAGGGTATGGAATAAGAATTGCTATTTTGGTCCACAGCTACATCTGATTTTCTGAATTTCGAATGAAAAGTCGTGAACGCGAAACTGTCCTATCTCTGTCTCAGTCAGTATCTCTCAGCCAGCATCTCAAACTGTGGAAGAGAAGGAGGAGCCTCAAAAACCCCCAGAAATGTATGAGTGGGAAAAGCGGCCATTTGCAAACCGGGAGCTTCTGTTTCCTGGTCTCGATCCCGGAAAGGAACTGCTTACGTCTGAATCTGGCCGTGACGCACCAGAAGCAGCCCGAGGCGCATGCCGCAGCGGAATACAGGCGCCACTTGTTTTTGAAAAGAATTTTCTAAGTTTTCAAAAATGACTTTTGAATTCAAAAGATCTTTTGTACACTCCTCTCCAGGTGTCCCATAGCTGCTTCTTCAGCGGTCAGTAGCATCAGCTTGGTTGAGTACCTACTACACTACGTGCTAAGCAATTTGCTTCCAACATTCACTAGATAAATATGTAGAGAGCCCACCGTGGGGCCAGAGGCTCAGCTGGTAAGGTCTCGGCGCTGGGTCTCTGAGGGATGAAGCGTCTCCCCTACAGACTGCACATCATCGTGCATTTTGTGTCCCCAGGCAGCCTTCAAGGAGACAAGGCACTCCTGTCCCTGCCTCTGCTTCTTCTTAACCCCCCCTGAAACTGGAAAAAGATCTAACACTCCACTGCATTCTAGAGCATGTAGTTCCAGGGGCCATCTCGGTCAGCTGGAGGAAGCTCAAATTGCTTACGTTTTATACTGCACGAAATAGATACCGCTGGTGCTCGTGCAAGCCCTCCCAGGCTGCCAGTGCAAAATGTTGTGAAAATTTCGAGACTGGAAATGTACTCTCTGAGGCTTCAGACACTCGTGGACTGACTGAGTTTCTAAAATAAAAAGAGAAGGGAAAACTTTGAACATGAACACGGACACCATTGTTCTTAGCGATACTTTGCAGTGTGATGCTTGCATAAGGAGTTCCTAAAGTAGTTGCTAGAAGTGTAGATGGGAGAGCTGGAGCCAGAAGTCAACATTTTGAATCTTGAATGTGAGGATTCTTATGCATGCTCAGGTTGCAGAACTACTGTGTTCCCGGCCATAAAAATGTGATATCCTCCCACCCCATTCACAAGCTCCAGAGGGAATAAAGAGCAGTGAAAGGGACAGTGTTCTCTGTCCCTTCCGTGACGGTGATGGAATGTAATGACCAAGATGAAAAGCCCACACCAAGGCCACTCACCCACTTTCCTAGGAGCCATTCTATGACTGCTACACTGAGGCAGAATTCTGCCTGGGATCCATTTTGGTTCCAGGCCCTCAGCCCAGCCCTCGGTTTCTCTTTTCTCAGGATCTTGCTCAACTGCTGGGTCTTGCCTTGCTGGCCCCCAACCTCTCCCAGCTGACGTGGCTTTATTCCAGGCGATCAGCCTTGGTTGCTCGGGTCCTGAAGGGCTGCACTTACCAGCTTGCATCCTGGCTCCAAGAACTCAAGCATAATTGCTGAGATGAGCCCGTCCCTGCTCTCAGGGGAGACCGCCCAAGGCCCTGTGGTGGGGCCCAGTGTTCCTGAAAAGAATCCTGAGTCTAATGGCGGCAGGACAGGGCTAAGTGTGTACTGTCAGTGGGTTGTGCTTCGTTCCCTCATTCACTGAGTGGGTGATCAGTCTCACCTGCATTCAGCCCCGTGGCGGCAAGAGACTCTGACAAAACTGCATTCTAGAATCCGAAGGAAACTAGACCATGTCACTCTAAAACGGGCCTCTTAGGCATAAAAAAAAATATATTGTGAGCTGAAGGCAATGAAGAAGCAACAAACACAGGAAAAGTCTCGATACCCTCCCCCTTTTCTGCCTAAAGGCAAGATATAAATTCTCCTTTTATTGGAGACAGGCTTCTCGGCCCAGGAGGGCACCAGAGGAGTCTGCCAACAAACCTTCCGTCAGTTTCCTCTCTCCCGTATGTTGACCATACCACAGTTTGCCACTCTCGGGAGCCTAAACCTGCCTTCCTGTGTCCCGTCAGCTCTGTGTGAATGTATTGCTCTTTGTTGAAGATGCCAGATGAGCTGGAATACTAAGCCGCCATCTGGGTCACTCTTCGCTCACGTTCCTCCCTCTCGACACGCGCTGCACGTGTTAATGAACGATTTGTTTTTCTCTCGTTAACCTGCCTTTTTGTTAACTTAGGCTGAGAGCCTAAGATGGGGCAGAGGTGAAGTTTTCCTCACCAACAAGTGTGACCTTTCCGATCAGGGATAGGAAGTTGGGCAGAAGGAGAGGGCGTCAGGAAACAACCTCGTCTTTTTCCCCCGACTTCATCTCCTACCGGACTCCCCCCTTTCTCCAGGATGCTCTCCTGTCTCCTGCCCCGCCGTGCTGGGGGTGCTCCCGCTGGGTGTGTCCCTGCACTGGCCCTGCTCCCCCCCTGGAACTCCGCACACCTCCTTTCTTCACCTCCTTTAAGCCTTTGCTCAAAAAATCATTGAGATGCAAGAACGTACTTCTGAGCCTATGATCTCAGCTCTGAACATTCAAGATTTGTTATGTTCTAATGAAGGGGGCTGGTTGGTTTTTGTTTGCTTTTATTTTTATTTTTTGGAACTCCTTCAGTGTGTCAAATGGTGGCACGTCCTTGGAAAGAGCCTACCGCTGCCGTTGATTTTGCTCACCCAAATCACGACCAGATCAGTCCTTGTAGTACAGAAAAAGTCCAGAAGTGTCAGGTTGTGAGGAACACTATCTGCTGGAGCCTGCGCCTAGAGTTGATTTGCCACCCCTGAAGATAGTCAGCTCAATGTCCTTTAGCGCCTCTGTCTCTGAATTTCTTGTCTCACTTTTGTACCATCACTGCTGCTCCCTCTGACAATAAGACCAGATCACCGTGTACCAGGTGCTGCGGCCCTGTACCTGCCTTAACTCAATCTGCCCAGCTGTTCGACAAAAAAGGGACTATTGCAGTCTCCCTCTTCCAGACAAAATTGCTGATGCTGATTTTGTACCCAGGCATCTGACTGCAGAGCCTGCCTGTCACCCGCCACAGAAACCAAGAGCAAAGCCTCAGAGAGGGGAGCTAATGGTGGGGAAAAACATTGAGGGCCTGAGGATATTCTTTCTCCCCCTCGTGCCCTCCTCCTCCTTCTGGGTGGCATTCACCAACCATTGAACATATAGGAACATTAAACAAGTATCAGGCACTGTGCTGAAAGCCTTACGTCTTATCCCATATTCACAACCACCAAATAAGGTAGCACGTTTTACAGATGGGGAAGTTGAGGCTTAAGGACATGTGGCTCTTGCCCCAAGTTACAGGCCCGGTAACATGTAGAGCCCCAAATCATTTTGGCAGCACTGGAATTCCCGCCATAGTTTGCCAAACGAGTCCTTTCTATTGCCAAGGACCAAAGGTATAGTCTACTCAAATCCACACCCATTTCTGAACAATGAGGGCTTGAATTGCTTTTATGTTATCAGTCCCTGAGCAACTGTATTGTCTTGGGAACATTAGTTGAGTCATTCACACTGAGACGTACCTATCTTTAACTGGGGAGGGGGGGAGGTTAATGGCTTTGATCAGAGGTATCTTGGGGTGACAAGTTCTTCTCTGCTCTTAAAAAGTTCTCTGTGAAGACCAACAGCAAATTCTCACATGCAGTTTATGGTCTCTATTCTGTCAGGCACTGTTCTAAGCACTGAGTATATATTAACTCATGTGATCCTCACAGTGACTTATAATCCCCATCCTACAGATGAGGAAATTAAGGCACAGCGGGGGTAGAGTCAATTGCCCAAGGTTTCCTAGATGGTAAATGGCAGAGTTGGGATCCAGACTCAGGTCGTCTGGCTGAGGAGCCTGCTCATAACCACTCTGCTCTAGTGTCCCTTGAAGGCAAAAGAAATATGAAGTTTGAGTGTCTCCTCTTTAGTAGCTACTTATTAAGTCCACCTGGAGTTATGCAGGCTGCAGAGAGAGACTGACCCCATGTCTGTTCTGACCATTTCATGTCAGAAGAAAGCTGACAATTGGACAAAGCCGAGAAGAGCACTAGAGCCATTTCCAACAGTCCCTTGAGCTGACTCAGATGACAAAGTCGTGAGCAATTAAAAAGAAGTGAAGCACTTACCTACGACACCAGTCGGGAAGAAACTGATGAGGAAGCCTAGAAAGCAACGTTTAGGCGTCATGGCTGGAGCGCGACTGGTCGAACAACCAGTGGTCCCCTCACTGAGAGCACAGCTCTGGACGGAAGAGGAAACTGAAGAATCCTCATGCCGGACATCCCCTCGTGGGCTTAACCATGGTTCCTTGAAGCCACTACAATTTCACTTTGTCAAGACACTATGTTGTTTATTATTTTAGGGTTATTGTAAAAGTAGAGAAATCACTTCAGAAAATATTTGCCGTAAGTCACTTCAATGTGGAAGCTTGTTTTTGTTGGGACTGGGACTTTGTCAGCTCTGAAAAGGCAAAACACTGAGGACTGGCGGACTGCAGGGCAGGGTAGGGCAGGAATTGTGCAAGGCACTCGCAGGTGAGGGAATCCAACAGATCGTGAGGCCCTCAGGGAATCTAGCCACCAGCGTGTGGCTGGCACAGTGACTCTGGGAAATGTTCTTGGCAGTTACAGCTACCCGGGCTCCTGACCGTGGTTCAAGCTGGTAGGGTCTCTGGTTGGTTCTTCCTTTTCCTCCCTTCTTGGAAGCTCTCTAACTTCCGGGGTATACCTCAGACCCTCCACACCCTCTGGCTCTCCACAGGGCTTCCCTGCCCCACTCATCTGTCTTCCCAGTCCATGGTGGCCCCCCGGGCCCCACTCAACCAATGCGCTTCCTTTTCCACTCCCACCCTCCGTTTCCAGCCATCTGAGAAAGATTCTGAGCTGTGAAACTACATGAGTCCTTAAAAGGTTGAATGTGGGGGACAATCATTTTGAGCTACATTCTATCTTTTTCATATCTTCTTTGAAATCTGATCAAACTAGGTCATCTGTTCTTTGCCTATGATTCATTATATTCATTTTTCTTACCATTTTTTTTAACCGCATGTTTGTAGAGGCACTAAAATTGTACATTAAAGCCCAAGAAGAAAGCCATAATTTTTTTAAGTGAGGATTTTTAGGTCAAAAGAGGAAATACCTCTGTAGTCTCTTTTAAGTCCTCGGTAGAATAGCCTCTGTGGTAAGTACTAGGGAGGGCTGCGAAGCAGTTCTCATCCATTCCTTCCCTCAGTAACATGGAACAGACATTTGCTGCCTGATTAGTCTCAGCACCAAGGGTGCGGCAGCGAGTAAGATAGACATTGCCCCTGCCTTCCAAAGCCCACTTGTAAAGGGAAGTAGACATAACTGCCAGAGCGGCATGGGGGGGTTTGTGAAGATAACGCCAGGCTTTCCAGTGCCTCCATGCTGTGTCCGACTTCGGAACCGGACCCCTCATCTCCTCCAGGTGGGATTTCCATTGCTCTGAAGCGAACAAAGGCTTTCAAGGAAGAAACATGCAACAGATCTTAGGCTCCCTTTGTACCCTCTGGTGCTCCTTGTTTTCTAGACGTCTCAGCAGCACCTACTTACTCACTGACTTTACCCAGCGAGCTCTAAACTTTGCATTCACCTTGAGGTTGTTTTTTTTTTTGGTGTTTTTTTTTTTTAAGTAGACTCCACGCCCAGCAAGGAGCCCAATGCGAGGCTTGAACTCACAACCCTGCGATCAAAACCTGAGCTGAGATCAAGAGTCGGACACCCAATTGACTGAGCCACCTAGGAGCCCCATATTAACCTTGGCTTTTAAATGGGGGCAGAGGGGTGATAACCTGTGTTTGAACTACTGATGTTCCATATCTTCTGCACAAATAGCTCTTGTTTCAAAGCAACCCAATTACCCCAAATTCCAGTTAAGAAAAAAAGAAAAATACTTTAATTCAAGGTTTAATAAGTAGTGCAGCCGACAATGAGATCAGGGTTTCCACTGGGTTACTGACTTTTGTAGAACAAATAAGGGACAATTAGAGGGGAAGGTAGAAGATCACAGAATATACTAAGAACTGAATTCTCTCAAAGATGTGTGAACTTTTGTGCTATGTTAAATTGCAGAAACCAAACCAGTCCTGTAACCATTCAATGAGCTCTCTGGTTGTGTGATATCATAATCTGCCTAAAAGCCAATTCTGCCACGATGCCTCAGGTAGATGAGAAGGTAAAATTAAATCCTAAAATCCTACCAATTTGGAAGCAGAAGAATTTGAACAGAATTATTTCCAGTGAAAATACATTTGCTTTGGGAAGGAAGAAAATTACAGATAACTGGAGATGTCTGCTCTACTTTGCTTCAAGCATGAAATGCTGGCTTCCAACTCATTACCCACCTTCCTCCCCTGCCCTCCCCCCTCTAACTCATCAGCAGGAAGAGTCCACCTTGACAGTGACAGGAGTGCCTCCCTCGTGTTGGGTCTGGAGAGAACTTGCCTAAGCCCCTGCCTTGGACAGACCTGATTCTCTTCTTTTTCCCTGTGGCTTCCCGGAGACCAACAATTCACCTAACCAAGAAATCATTATTAATTATTTTTAAGTGTGATATGGGATTTTGGTTATCATTATTATTACTGTTAGAAATACATATTGAAATATTACAGATAACATGACACGATGTCTGGGATTTGCTTCAAAATAATCCAAAGGGTCAGGAAGAGGGTGACCAGCCGGCCACAAGCTGATAATTATTGAAACTGGGTATTGGGTACAAGGATACTCATTATACTTTCTACTTTTATATATATTTGAGCTTCTTCATAACAAAAGGAAAAGGACTTTAAAAGTTTATCTACAAGATGACATCTTTATAAAACTTCTTTTGGTAATTTAAATGCCATTTTAGTGTTGGTAACAGGAACTAACAACTATGGGGGACTGTGTTAAATCCTTTTTATGTGTTATTTTAGTTAATCCTCAGGACAAGCCCAGGAGGTCAGTATAATTATCCTGATATTACAGATGAAGAAAACGAGACATAAGCTCAAAGAACCTAACCAGCTCTACGGCATGTAGTGACAAAGCAACGGGTGAAGTCAGGTCTGGCTGACCTAAGGGCTCTATTATAAAATCACTATGTGTTATTCTTCACTTGTAATATTTATTCCATAAAGGGATAGAACAATGTCAATGAAGATTTGGCCATTCATTCCTTTAATTGTTGATTCACTCAAATGAATGTTTACTGAGCATGTGCTGTATCCCCGGGCACTGTGTTAGGGATGCAGTGATGAACCAGAGGGCAGAGCCAGTCCTGATCGGGCCAGTTTCCTTTTCTTCAGCCACGTCTTGGTAGTGAAGGGCCACATGTTCCTTATTCTCCTTCAGAAAAGTGTTTAAAAACTGCCTCAGTAGAGTATATCTAAGATGGACTGGGTTTCTGCTCCAGGTTCTTTCCCTCATTCTATGATTTGGTAAACGGGAGGCCTCCTTCTAAAGTTAATTTAATGGAGCACAATGATAACTTGAAATCCACTCTTCTCCTCCTCAGACCTAGAGAGAACCATATACTTGTAGTACCAATAACTGGGAAACTATTTGTTCTTTGTTATGCGCCAGGCCCTCAATAACTCTGAATAATACTCATGACTTTTAAGCAGTTCTGCATTCTGGAAATAATTGGCATGCATTTCAAAATAGTTTATGGACTTGAATCCAGAAAAAAAAAAAAGGAACTTCATTGTTCAAATACATGCAATAAACACAATGACCAATCTGATCAAGCTTAGTTTTTATTAATTTTTGGACCACGAACACTAATACATTATTTAAAACCTCTGTTCATAAGACTGAGGGCTTCCTTAGGGTAACTTTCCGCTCTTCATGCCTGTTGGTCTGGTTGAAAGATGTTATTGATTTTGTTTTGACTGTTCTTGACCAAGGTCTTTTACTGACCCTGAAAACCCTATTGGATATATCCAATCATTATGTCCATCCACTAGCATATGCCTGGACATTGTTTCAACTCTGGAAAGATTTCCATGGCATAACCAGAATCCACCCAGTTGTCACCCCCTCCACTGCAACCACTCAGGTCCCCACCACTACTATCTGTTCCCCGGTCTGTGGCCGTAGCCTCCTGTCCATTCTCCCCACTGCTGCCTTTGTCCTCTGCATCAGCAGGAGTGCTTCTTCAAAATGTTCCATCAGAGCCTTTGCTCAGAGCCTTCTAATACCTTCACATCTCTTTCAAAATAAAAGGCAATATTTTTCTACTCACCTACAAGGCTGTGGACCTTCTGGCTCCATTACCTCTAACTTCACCTCTTCCACTTCTCCTGACCCACAGTGCTCCGGCCCTAATGGCCTTTTTGCCGTTTCTCGGGCATGCCAGGCTCATCCCCACGCTAAGATCTTTTACTCCCTGTCCCCTCTGCTTGCATGCTCTTTCTGAGATGCTGAGCCTCACCGGTCACCTCCTTTATGTGTCTACTCAGATATTACCTTACCAGTGAATTCTTCCATGGCCACCCAGCATGGCTGCAGTTCTCCCCGCCGCCATCTGGCCGCATCTCCTTTGTCTGCTTAATTTTTCTGCATAACATCTATCATCATTTGATAGGCTGTTTTTATTCTTGCTGTCTATCTTCCCCACTAGAATAGAAACTCCAGGAGTGACCTCCTGACATTGTATGTGTTGTTCACTGTTCCACTATGAACAGTGCTGGGCACGTAGTAAGCACTTGCGGCATAGCTAGTGAATCAATGAAAAGGAATGTGTTTTAGCAACTGGCCGGAATTTACAAGATTTAAGCCACAAGAACATGAAGATGCTTCTCTGCTTCTTATGGTCTGGGGTGCGAGTCCTGATGAGACGGGGCTGAGATTGTCAGATCTGCGAGGTCACTGTGGTTCCTTCAGACACACACACACAACTCGGGCTTTGCCAACACCACGCGGCACCACTACCAACTCTCCAGCTGGACCAGTAATCTGTGTGACTTGGGATGTAGCTGCTTCTTGACAGTTGCAGAGATTTCCCTGATCAATCATCTGGGTGCTTCTCTGGGTGGGAAATGGGGTTCGTGCTGGGGGGGTGCATTTCTTTGGCAATTTTCGAATTTGAATTCTCCTGATTAGTCTGTTCAGATGTTCTATCTCTTTTAGATTCAGTTTCTACAGATGGTATTTTCTTTAGAAGAATGTCCATTTCATTCATGCTTTTAAATTTATTTGCATAGAGTTATGCAAATTATTCCCTAATGATATCCATATTCAATTTCCCTTGTTTCTGTGATTTCTCTTTTATAATTTCCTATTTTGAGTGATGATATTTCTCCCTTTTCTAAAATTTTATTCTTAGTTAAGTCAGCTAGTTATTTATCTTCAAAATTTTTTCAAGGAACCAGATTTTGTAATTAGTTGCACCTCCTACTTTTTAAAAAGATTTCATGTTTCATTCATAT